TATATATATATATATATATATATATATATACACATACACACACACACACACACACATACACATACATACATACATACATACACACAGGGGCTCCAGGTAGTCAATTAGCCCAGAATATTTATTTATATATATATAAACAGACACATAACATAGACAGAAATAGCATTCCCCAAAATGCAAGAGAAAGAGAAATATAAAACTAGTGTTTAATATAGAATCAAAGGCAATGCACATGGAGGGGAAGGGGGATACACACCACTAAACCTCCTTACCTTTTCTTTCATGGTGTCACTTTAACAGATCAGATGGGAAAGTGTCAAGTATGGGGGGGATTCAATGGAGTGGGTCTATAAAACAGGTTATTTCCAGCTGTTAGCAGCATGGGAGACAAACAGCTGGAGGCTATCATGTGGAATTGCTCTACAATGATGACTATATGCTAAATGTTCTGATTCCGTTTCTGCAGAACATGTGCAGAGGAATTGATTCAAAGCATGATTGTTCATGATCTGAATGACAATGTAAAATCACCAAATTAAGGGAAAAGACACAGGAATTACATCAGGATCCCACGAAGATGGGATCCCATGAATCCCAGAACCTTCCTTTAAAGCAGTCTGTTTACAGAGAAACAAGCACACTCTAATTCACTTCTATAGAATCCAAACTGTGGTCTTGAATTTGGCATTCGGAACCATGTTACAGTTTCATTGCAATTTTAGAGAGAAATTTCTTTTTTGATTATAGAACGAATATTTCTTCCCAGACAGAATGAGCAAGAAAAGTAAGGCAAGAATAACAATTTTATTTTCTAAACCAATCCACTAGAGGAAAAAAAAGTTTTAAAATATTACTCTTTTTGTTTTTTCAAAATATGGGAAAGAAGAAACATAGATACCAAATGTCTGAAAAAACAAAAGGCAATTTTAATATCAAAGTAACTATTACAACTCTCACTACTACATTAATATACAGAGAACATTCAAGCAACTCTTGAGAAGTTACTTTTGTAGATTCCATCAAAAAAGACAGTGTTCTTAATTCCCTTTTCTGAAAGTCACATGCAAAGTGAAGGACAGTTTCAAACTGAGTTTTGTCAATTTATATCAACTTATAGAAACAAACCTTCTTTTGCCCAAAGTCCTTTTCAGAGCTTGTTTGACATCCTTGTTTCTGAGGCTATAGATGAGGGGATTCAACATTGGGATCACCAAAGTGTAGAACACTGACACAATTTTACTCTGAGAAGGGGACGATATGGCTGCTGGCTGAGCATAAATGAAAAAAGCAGTCCCGTAAAAGATGACTACAGCTGTTATATGAGATGCACAGGTAGAAAAAGCTTTCTGTCTACCATCTGTAGAATGCATCTTGAGGATGGTGGAGAGGATGTAAGCATAGGAAGTGAATATCACCCCTGTACTAATGGGAACCACAACACTGCAGAGAGAGAACATCACAACTTCATTGATGTATGTATCTGTGACAGCAGCCTTCATGACAGCCGGGATATCACAGTAGAAATGGTTGATCTTGCTGTGATTGCAGAACCTGAGATGGAAAGAAGCAGCAGTCTGTATCACACCATTGGCACAACCACATGTATAAGAAGCTGCTACCAAATGATGGCAAGAAGTCTTTGACATCTTTATTGGATAGAGGAGAGGGTAGCAAATGGCAACGAAGCGGTCATAGGCCATGACAGCTAAAAGAACACATTCTGTGGTAACAAAGATGGTGAAGAGCATCAACTGCACCACACAGCCCTCATAAGAAATGGTATTTTTCTTCTCAAGGAAATTCACTAGAGCTTTTGGAGCAATGGCAGAAGAGTAACAGAAGTCCAGGAAGGATAGGTTTCTAAGGAAGTAGTACATAGGTGTATGAAGCAGAGGATCAGCATTTATGATTGTGATCATACAACTATTTCCAACCAGAGTGGTGATGTATAATACCAGAAAAATAATAAAAAATGGTATTTCCAACTTTGGATGGTCTCTGAAACCCACCAGGATGAACTCAGTAACTGTGGTACAATTTTCCATGGTAAGTATCTAAAATGAATAAAAACACACATAACAAACACACCATGTTTACACTTTCCCAGAGATATTAGCAAAAATATATGGACTCAGTCTTTAGATTGATATATGAGAAATACCTAAGAAAGAGTTAGATCCAGAATGAACTTGAAGTTCTATAAATGTTCACCTTGGAGTGGGGCATTCAATGAGATTGCACTTGAAATTAATTGACCTTATGCTATTTTCCTAAACACAGAGACAATACTGTTTTTTTTCCCCCCAGCATTTATTCTTTGACGCTACCTCACTTCTTAAACATAAGTTGTCCATTTCTCATTTGGGTGGTAATGCCATGTTCTTATCGTACCCTTTTTGTTTCATTGCAATGGCCATTGTGAAAATTCTATTTAAATGCAGTTATCTATGCTTAATATTCCTTTCCATGTCCCTGCAATTTAATACTAGTTTTTTTTTTAAAAAAAACCTCTTTTAAAATGTTGTGTTTTATCCAAATTTTAACCATGTCAGCATCTGCTTCCTTCTTTTAAAATATTTCTCTTTACTTATTATTTTTTTAAGTTATCTTTCTGCACAGGTACCAAGGCAATCACAACTAATCAAAACAATATCTCTATCATCTGTCTGTCTGTCTCTTTCTATCCATCCATCCATCCATCCATCCATCCATCCATCCAAACAGACACAACCATGGTATCTACCAGAGCAATATAAAATTAGGGGCTTTAATACTGTTTCTAAAAATCAAAACATTCAAGAGGTTGGAAACAGCTGCAGCTCTGGTGGAAATGATTTTTACTGTTTGAAAGAAGAGAAAGGCTTTTCTCATATAGCTGTCAAATTGCACCACCACATTCATCTAATCTCAAGACTGATGGTCCTTTATATTATGGGGCTCTGGAAAAAAAAAAAAAATACAGCAATGGCTTGACTCCTCCCATTGAAGCTTCATTGGTCTGTGCATTATACAAATGCTTATAGACAAGTTTATCAAAAAGAATCAAAAGGCTGAATCAGGCCAGCATGCTTCTAGGCTTTGATTCATGGCATCAGGGTAGAGCTACTCCATTTTCCAAATCAAGGGACAACCTTAAAGCAGATCAGTCCAACCATCCAGCGAGTTTCACGTGACATTTTGAATGAGTTCAATGCAGCTCCGCACAAGGGCAGAACAAAGTTCTTTCTCAAATGTATTCATACTCTAGCACTTATGAAATCAGCATTTTAGTACCTCAGAAGTTTACCATTGAGCAATATAGGGCTGTCTTCATTTAATCATTAAACAATGTTGAATTTTTAGCTCATTCAATATATTAGATCTTCTCCCACGTTTTAGTATTTCCATCCTTGTAAGCCCACTTTTTGTTATTCTGTGCAATTTCCTTAGAAACATTCAAACGTTACCTATTTATTTAGTCATGGAAATGTAAATTGGTCACTGACCATAATGAAGGCTATTACATTATTATTATTATTATTATTATTATTATTATTATTATTATTATTATTGATTCTGAGGTGCAAAAGAGAACATTAAGTTGTGAACATACATTTAGGAAAATACGTACCATAAATAGTTGAAATGTTTTTTTTTAAGTACTTAGAACATCACTATGGCTAAATCACTGAAATCAATTGCTATAGGAAATGAATCAGATTCCAGTACAGCATATGAACCAGCAGGGTCATAAATTTATATTGTACTTGTTTCAGCAGCTCATATACTACAATTGGAACAATACAGAGAGGGATATGCTTAGAGCTATAAAGATGAGATATTGTTAACTTGTTTGGCAGGTAGGGGAAGGATATTTTTGCCTTTATCTTTGTTTTTATGGATTGGTGTGAACTGCCTAGTATAGTATATGAGATAGGGAGCCTTACAAGTTCTATCAATAAATAAACTTACCACAACAAGTGTATAAAGCAACAGCAACTCCATCCTTATCAATAGATTTAGCAAGAATTTATTGTAGAAGTCTTCTATACTAGGGGGACAGTTTATTCTCCATGGTATCATTAAGTTCGCTGTCTACCATCTCTCTCTCTCTCTCTCTCTCTCTCTC